TATGTTATTTCAGAGACACGGCAGATAGAAGTCTGTTTCAAAAAATAGTTATGTTCTTGGAGTTGCGTTTGTTAGTTTCCAGGAACTTGGATATCTAACTTAAAGATTTTGCCAATATGTTCCGTTTGTTTCCTCATTTTCCTCTTTCTTTGACTCTATTAGGATACAGCTGCATCAGATGACTGACTAACGTATCATAAATAAAAGTGTTCGCATTGAAAATCTCGTGTTAGTGGAGTCAGAATAAGGGGTTTTCAGTAGTAGGTAAATCAAAATTTTTTGTAATAAAAATTGTGATAAAAAAGGAAAAAGGTTTTGAGAAACTGTAAAAGTGATTTCAAAAACTCAATAATAATTTAAAAAGGAAAAAAAAAGAAAGAAATTCATTTTTAATGAGTGTCTTTACACCTGATGAAGACTCGGCTAAGCTTACGTCCAATTTTTTAGACAAAAATAACCCCAAATCTAAAATCAATGTTTGTGAACGAATCAGTTGACCTATATCAGAGATTTTGAAGCCGTTCAAAAAACTCTTGACGTGACTCAGTTCGTAAGGCTAGGGAGTAGCATTTGATAGATAAGGCAATGACTCTTGAACCTAATGGCCTAAACTGCCGTGACGAATTATTGTAATCCATATCCTTATTATTTTTTCTTTTTCAGTTTTTTGTGTTGTACGTCATTTCCGCCTCTCCCTTTTACACAAATTTATTGCAACATTCTCCATCTATGATATTATGATTACTTTCATAAATTCAGTAACATCTGTAAACCTGAAGAAGGCTGGTATGGCCAGCTGAAATATTGTTATGAAAAAACAATATACGTTGTTCTAAACAGCTTTGCAGTAGTCTTTGGACTTTTTTGGTTCTTAATATTTTGGCTGATAAGATCTCTTTTCCAGAGATCCAACGTTTATAACCAGCATGATCTTCGTCCACGGTTTTTGCGGTTAATTTAAGTCCTTTATCTCTGGCCCAGCTCTTGAATGGTTTCGCTGCTACCTTACTAATCGCTTGCAATTTGCGTTAATCGAAGGGTGTAGATCACCGTCTCGCGAGCTCAGGTGCGCTGTACCTCAAGGTTCTGTTCTCGGACCGATTCTGTATGTACTACACAGCACCACTGGCCGACATTCTACGATTCCATGAAATGCAATTTCACTTTTACGCCGATGACACTAAATTATGTATTTCTTTCTCTACAAACAACGATATGGAACTAACAAATAGTATCACTACGATTGAGGAATGCCTGTCCGACACTGATAAGTGGATATCCATCAACAGACTAAAACTAAACAAAGACAAGACCGACCTTCTCTACTTATTCTCAAAGTATAATCCACAACAATCTCTACCCCCGCTTCGCTTTGGAACTGACATAATCAAGCCCTCTTCACATGCAAAAAATATTGGCGCTATCTTCGATGCCACTTTGTCTATGCTTCCCCATGTCAACAGTGTTTATAAATCTGCCTTTTATCATCTTCGCACCATTTCCCGCATAAGGAAATACTTATCAACTCAAACTGGTTATTCACGCCTTTGTAACTGCCAAACTCGATCACTGCAATTCTCTGCTATATAATGTCCCCAAAACCGACATAAAAAAGCTTCAATCGGTGCAGAATGCAGCTGCCAGACTGATTAGACGCTCTAGGAAGTGTGATCACATCACTCCCATCCTCTTCAATCTTCACTGGCTACCTGTTTCTGAACGAATACTACCGGAAGTTGCATGGAAGTGAGGCTTAATAGCCCTCGCGGCAAATTTAAAATAAGTAAACATGGCGGACGATCAAGTCGATCTTGCTCCAGAGGACTTTCCTTTAGAGAAGAAGAGACAAAAATTTACCGTTGCTCAACTAAAGTTTTGGTTTAAATGCCGCCGTATAAATCAAAATGGTCATAAGAAGGAACTGTTGGAAAGGTAGGTGTACATAATCTGGCTCCGTGCGATCGATCAGCTGTTTATGCCCTTTGCGCACCTCAAAATTAATCGCAGAAATCCGGGCATATTATTCTCCCTAAGCGCTTCTAGGATATATAACACGTCTAGCCTTTCGATCTGTAGCAAAATATAATTAGGCAGTTTTCTATACCCTTTATGGTTCATCCAGGTAGAAGTCCTGGCATGATATTATTATGCCTGAGCGCTTCTAGGATATAAAACACGTTTAGTATTTCGACTCCTAGCCGAAAATAAAAATAGGCAGTTGTTTTATATATCTTTTCTGGTTCATACAGGTAGAAGTCCTGGCATGATATGATTGCCCCCGCAAGGATTTAGCCCAGCAGGTGAAATCCCGAGAAGGCACTCTCTAGTAACTCGCGCATATATCAAGGAAAATACTTACAGTAACTCGCGTGACGGCGCGTGTTTTAACTAAGACAAACAAAAATGGTGGCGAAAAAGCAATGGTACACAGAAGACGATTTCTCACAATCTACTCATTAAAATTTTGTGATATTTGGCAAAATTTTTACTTTAACCATATTCTTAATAATGAGAAATTTAAAATGGAAGTTGAACAGACTAATTTTGTAACACATTTAATAATTACAGTAGAATTATATTATTGATTATCTAAAAACCCGTCTGTTAAAATTTGGTCAAATAAGTTTCAAATGGTAATGATTAATTATAGTAAGCTTTCTGCAAGTTTATAGGAAAATCTAATGAGCGGATTTTATGTAAACTGAGTAAAATTGAAATTTTAAGGTTGTATTCAATCGTTCATGTTGCCATGGAAACTACAAAAACGTCAAATTTTACCTGTCAATCAAGATCTTTCATCAGTATATTTTTCACTTGCCAAGTTTCAGATTGTGAGCTGCAATCTTTCTCTTGCCATGATTTGGCAAATGACATTTACTCACAAACTGCCCAAACTGTGTTAAGCCACCTTAATAGAGGGTGTCCGCTTTACACGGTGTCCGCTTAATACAGGTTTCACTGTACTTCCGTTGCATGCTTTTTTAGTATGCAAATTTTTCATACGTGGGAAAATGCAGAAAATAGAATTAATCTTTTTTTTTTTCATCTAAAAACAAAACAATCAGCTCAGTCACGTTTAACTTCTTGCCAGATTAAAGGAGTTCTTGAAGGTTATTTCTGTTGGCGTAGAAGGTAAAACGTTTTCGAAAAGACGGCGACACGTTACATGTTGTAGTTTTAAGTAATATATCAAGCATGAGATGCAGTGTTTCATCACTAGATGAAACACCGAGAAAGGGAGTTGAAAATACGACGCATTTTTGACGAACTTCGAGGTGTTTCATCTGTTGATGAAACACTGTGTCCAGTGCTTGATATTACTTCTAAAACAAAATGATTTTAGAGGGAGAAATTAAGGATGCAAAATGAGCAGTTTTTCGCCTGGTTTCCAAACACTCGTTAAACATTAAAATAATTTCCTTTTAGCCTGCGAAAACGTCCGTTTCTCCTCACTCTTCGCCGCTGGGGACGTTCCGCGAGGAGGTTAATTTCCTTTGTATTTTCTTAATGAATTATTAATGGCTTTGAGAATGCCGTAAAATTCCGAAAATAAGCCCTCCATGTATAAGCCCCTCCAAATATAAGTCCCCCAGACTCGTAACGCAAAAAACCCTCTGTTAAATCGCCCCTCCAAATATAAGCCCCTGGGGGGCTTGTACTTGTAAATTGCCCTCAGAAACAAAGTAAAACAAAGAAAAACGGTAAATTTCCTACCAAGAATAAGGCTAGCCTAATCTGCTTTTAAACGCAAATTTCCCTCCGTACATAAGCCCCTCCTAATATAAGCCCCTCCAAAAAAAAGCCCCCCAAAAAGAGCCTTTGAAAAATATAAGCCCCAGGGCTTACTTTCGGAATTTTACGGTATTTTTAGTTAGATGCACTCGATTTTTAAAATAGTGAGATTTCTATTTTTCCTGTTGTTCCCCGATTTTTGGTACATGAATCTGTAAAAATCTTGAAGAAATATATCGCTAACTTTTTCAAAGAATATATAAATTATCTCAGAACAAACCAAACGAGTTCTCAAGTGCATTTAATTTAGTCCCGTGAGTACGCTAACAATTTGCGAATTTACTAGAAACAACCGTCTAAGAATACTAAAAATACTAAAACTGCATGCGCAACTGACCTATAAACAAAATAAAAACAGTGTTACAAACACACTTTGTATTTCTGTTGTGTTGTTGTTTTATTACAGTTCAGGAAAAACTCGCTAAATTTAATATAAGCTAAATTAACAAAAAGCAAACAGCCAACGAGCGAGGACAACAGCTTTTCTGGTTTGTTTAATTTGTACAAAAAGCGAAGGCAAACAACAATTCTGTTACCTTGAGACTAGCAACTCTAGCTTTTATAATAATGTCTACAAAAATCCTTAGCTTGAACAGCGATGCGATATGCGTCTGGCAGTTGAAGTTTCTTTCGCAGTGAGCCTCAGCTTGCGTACTCCGTTCAGAGACGTCATGCCCGGCTAAAATTTCAAATGAAAAGCTTTGTTTTTGCACGGCTAGCCTCTTAGATAGAACGAGGCTAGCCATGCATAAACACAGCGTTTTTAAATCTCCTGAGACAAAATGACCGCCGCGTGACAAAGGTCTATAAGCGCTTTCAACTTCCGTTGATTCCACCAGGCAATCAGATCCTGTGGCATTGTTCTGACAGCCAATCAGCGTTGCGGACAAAATCTAGCAGCAGACTTTGTATCAGGCCCAAGTTTAGCGGGAGTACGTAAGAGAGAATGTATGAGAACTGCTAAAATTGGGCCTGATCCCAGCTTAATTATGCCTAAGCTCTTCTTGGATATATAATTATAACACGTTCAGCATATTAGATACGAAATACGATCAGAGATTAATGGATAAAGAATGTTACAAGCTACTAGGTATCCAGGAGAGATCGAGGACTAAAAGTCCCCGATCTCAGCTGGATACTGAGTTATTTTTGGTGGCTAAGAGCGCACGGCTTGTTGTGGGCTCTTCTGCTGCTTCACACTTTGCTTGTCAACGTGCGACAGTGTAGTTGAACGCTGATAGAAAGGAGAAACCGCTTCCGAATGTTCCTAGATGTGTTGTTAAGCACTCGGTAGACTTCAAATTAGTTTTGTGACCCACCTAGAAGCATATTAAACAAATATAAAAATTAATAAATCGAAAATGCCAGTTCAGTTATTGTCTTTTGAAGCGGTAGTAACTCAGAGTTTTTTTTTAATTTCAGTAGGAATCTCTTCTCAGATTTTGGTTATGCCAAACTAAAATGTGCGTTTGCAATAATTTGACCTTACACGTAAGACATGAAAATTAAGATTTGGGGCATACCTGGTGTCGAGTGAGTGAATATCAGAGGTTTGAAACCGGCTTCAGGTATATTGGCTTCATTTTCTGAGATTTTATGGGCTAGCAAGCAGATTTTAAGTTGAAAAATGTTGTCTTTATTGAGCATGATGTCTAGAAGTTTGAATTATAGCTAAATATTATACAGCGTATACATTTAGTCCATCCATCAGCTAGGGGGGGTGTATGACTCACTTAAGGGGAACAAACAAAACTTGTGTAATCTTTATCTTTGAGTAAAAAACATGACAAAAATGCAAGATAGCAAGGAAAGAGCAGTAGCTTTCACTCTGTAAATCGAAATTTACCCCAAATACCCTTCTTTTGGTCGCCATCTTGGATTTATAATAAACAGACCTTCGATTTCTCTCTCAAAAACACACGATTTTTGCTTTGAAGTTTATTTGAAATGATAGGTACCAGAGATATTATTTTAGGATTGTTATAGTTAGTCAAGATAAGATGACGTCATATATGACGTCACAGTGACCGCCATTTTGCTTTTAGCATTAGCGTTTTCAACTGCTGTCTCAGTTGTAAATAAAACTACTATTCGGACCCTCTACATCACAATTCTCGAAAAACGTGCAAAGGGCTATTGTAACGTCGATTTCCACGTTAAGCAAAACATACTTCTATCGCTAGGCTTTAAACCACAAATCGGACTAGATACTAGGTAACTGGCTCTATTCAGTCTATTCTTTAGTCTTGAGCTTGTTTGGGAACACTGAAAAGCATCTTTATCGGTTTGATCGCATATAACATAATTTGTATAACATTCTTCAATCCTGACACTCGCGTTTGGAAGATACAACATAAAAATATATTTACATGTACTGCATTTGTGTATCGAGCTTCATAAGGTGAAAAAAGGTTCCCGAGAACGAGTTTCAGAGTAAACTTCTCCAGGAGCCAACATAGGTACAAGTCGCACAAACGGCGCTGGTTACGTTCTCTGGGCATTTCGAGGTGGCTGTGATGCGTCTCTTAAGCTGTTGGGAGAGTCTGGCTTTGCTTGCCTTTCGCGTGAGTCCCTTAGGATTGGTAAGAGACAAAGGAAGAGCTCAGGGGCTCTTAAAGCTGTTTTCAATGTGAAGGCAACTTTGATGTCAATATGATGAAGCTGTCCGAGAAGTGCCATCCGAGCAAAAAAAATCGTGATCCATACGAAAAGGAAGCACTAGATCCTTGTTGCGAACCTTACGCACAGCCTTCAGCTTAGCTTTCTTCACTGGCTAAAAATAGTCTAGAGTCAGGGATTGGATGAGCAACGGCCCGTTACAAAGTTTATCGATGGCTGCTCTCACTTGTTTGTGACCGGCAGTCAGTCATCATTATTTTACTTCTGTGTGGACAGTTTTAGCGAGTTGCAAATCTCTCATGTTGGCAAACTCAGTTCGGCAACTGAATCAATAAGTGACGGGATGTGCGAGGAATTCATATTCAGCTGAAACCTCTGAAGGCTGATTTAGACGGTGCGATGTTTTCTTACGACTATCTTGCGCGACTACCATGTGTCGAGACTTCACGACAGATCGTGTTGTGTAAATTAGGCCCACGACATTCGTACGACACATTGTGGATGTCATAAGTGAAAATTGTGTGCGTGTGGATGGTCGAAAGCCTTGACGTATGAGCTTTAGTCGTAAGCAAAACTCGTAGGTACCGTCTAACTCGGCCGTAAAACTGATTCCAGATCACGAAAGCACGATAAGGCTGCAACAAATATCTCTGCGTTAGGAGAGCTTTTCCGCCATCATGGTGCAGAGCTGAGACTTTCAAAACCGGAGCGAAAAGCTATCGACTATTGCCTTAAGAGCATTTGTTTTGGAGCTGGGGCTGGGGACGCGTGGAAACAGGTTATTATTTTCGAAGGGGACCTCTTTAACACACTAGCAATATATACATTTATTTTGTCAACTTTCTTTTTTCTGAAACAATTATGCAAACCTCCCAGTTTTTTCCAGTAATAACATCAATTGCAAACTTCCGGTCTTATTGTGACCAATACTAACAGGCGATGTGTATTCACACGCGACGTCAGGTAGTTATAATTTAAGCACTAGACTAAACGGGATGCATGTTTTTAGTTTCAATATGCTTTAAATTGAAGTTTAAACACGATTTGTTAACGTTATAACGATATAAGCAACTTTTGTAGCCATCCCCGAAATCTAAGATGGCGGCCAAAAGGAGATTATGAGGGGCAAATTTAAATTTCGATTTTCAAAGTGAAAGCTACCGTTTTATCCTTGCTATCATACCTTTTTTTGATACTTAATATAGTCAAAGATTAAGATTTGACACCTTTCGGCTGTTCCCCTCAAGTGAGCCATAAAACCAAATTTTCGACTTTCAGCTGATGGACTAATTAATTTTGTTTTGTCTGGACTGTTTTGAATCTACTTGGGTATGTGTGTCACCAACTCATAATACCGTATTGGAGGTATAAGGGTAGATTAGTCAGTGATATAATATTTGTTTGGAAAAGAAATGGCGTAATTGTGAATCCACACGTTTTTAGATATTTTGCTGTTTGTGTGTTGATAGAAAAATGGTTATTACTAAAAAGAAGTCAGTAACCAAAAAACAGCATCTTCAAGTTGTGGAAGTTTTGATGAGAAGTGATTGATTTACTACTCGCTTAGAGGCGCGTGTGAGAAAAAAAGCCGAGTAGGTCCCAGGTCAAACTCTCTACTTCGCATGAAACGACCTCAGTCAGGGGCACCCGGTTACGATGGTTTCTCCCTAAATACGTTGAAAACACTTTGTAGGCTATCCACAGTACTTTAAGATCTCTAGAAATGCATTCTAAGCGGCGCTATAAAATTTGTACCTTTTCGGTCATTAAATTACAAGGGCTTCAGTATTATTTTACCGAGAATTTAAGATGTAATGTAACGTATTACTGCGAAAGTGAGATTTTTCCTGATTCAAATTTTAGGCTTTACTTTTTTCGACAAAAATAGCCTGACTGGGGAGTGAAATGTGAAAAATCAAACTTAAGAAAATCGTAGGGAGTTTATTTCGTGATGAGCTTCCAAAATTGCACGTAAATGAAACGGTCAACTAGAAATTTGTAGCCGTCCTCAAGCCGTAGAAAATTCTAGGCAATGTTTGCTTCGCCCTATATTTACAGAAAACACTCGTTGAGTGCCCCTGTTTAGCTGAGTTTGGTTTCACTTAAATTTTGATGTTCGCCAGTCGGGTCAAATTGCCGAACAAAATGTTAGTCAAACGTTCTTGAAATATTGCGTATAACGTTTTTCGCTGATTATTTTTTTATTCTCAAGTCTGTAATCAGATGGCGTATAATTTAGAAATAGGAATACTTGATAGTCCTCCTCAACTTTACCTTAAGCCCGTCTGTTGACCACACGTTCTTTTTTTCGTCATAGAACATACACTTGGACGTATACATGGAAAAATTGTAGGGTACAGTGTCATCAGATCCAATCTTCTTCAGCTCTTCCACAGGTAGAGAGTCATTTTTCGTATATCCCATCATCACAAAATACTGACCAGCGGCAGTCCAATTTAAATTATCATTGGATAAAAAAAGCTTACAAAGAGAGACGTTTGTCGAGTGATCACAGTAGCGCCCTCCCAAGCGAAATGTTGCGTTGAAGTCGTAAACACCTTCTTCTGGCTTAGGTATGCTTCCCTTCTTGATGTAAATCTGCACGGCAACACTGATATTCCAAGCTAGTTGAACAGTCACAGCAGATGCATTTTCTGTTATATTATATCCATATATATGGTACCTATCAGAGCGCAGACTTCCTTCTTGCACCGGAGGATCTTTAGCGGTATTATTTCTTGGTAACATAACACTGATTTCCTCCTCCAGACCTTTCACTTTGCACTCAGCACCATCAACGTCATCACTTCCGTCATCCTTTGACTCGGTAAACGACAAGCTTACAACTTTGTCTGTTACTTGACCTCCTCCCTCACCACCTGAGTATAGATTTTCGTTGGATACTAGGATCTGAGAAAAAAGAAAGGTTCACCCAATAAAGTTTCCCGTTGTAAAAGCGTCCGACTTAAAATAGATGCTAACTGGGTTTTATTAACCATTGTTTGTCTTTTTTTTTCTTTGTTTTGTTTTGTTTTGTTTTTTCATTTGTAGGTCCACCATCGTACCTTTATTCCTGGTTTATAACAAAGAGAGGTCTATTTTCAGGTTTCCCTTGGCATGGAAATTGGGTACCTTCAACTTGACGTATCAAAGACAAAAGCCTCGCCAGGGGTCAAATCCCAGGGGTACTCTCATACGTTACAGGTGTGTGCCGCGGAATAGCGGAGCGTCCGCGCACGCGAAGCGAGGCGTGCGCAGCGCAGCCCCATAGGTTATAGAAAATAGAAACCTATTGATGCCAGAAAACTTGCTTATGACGTCAGCGTTCACCGTTCGGTTGCCCGTACAGACCCTGGGGATAGAGGTAAAAAAACCTCATTTGGGTAGGGAAGGGAGTCTTAGACATACACTGTGCGTTTCGTTTTGGCGCAAAATTAACCATTTTCGAGGTAACAAAATGGAGGTGCTCGAGTAAAAATCTTGATTGAAGTTTCTTGTGGTCGGCTAAAGAGAAACCTTTTGGAAATATCATTCTAAAGCTTTGCTTTTTGCTTGGTCACGCTTTTGGTCATACTCTAGGAACAACCTTATCTCCCCCTTGCCCGCTTAGTCAAAATTTTGACAGGTGAATTCATGCGTGAAAACTTATGCAGCATCTAGAAATTTGTTGGCCGACAGACGACTGGTAGACAACTGCAGAAGCCTCTTTCCATTTCAGTTAAGTTTTAAAATTATTTATTGTCTTTCCGTACTGCCGCCTAAGGAAAGTGTCGCAAAGAGATTCATCGATGACTGCGTTTGTCTGTTGGTTCATGCAGGCTCTTACGGCGGACTACAGGGAAAAATCTTGAACCTCTCAAATTTTTACTTATTCGTGTTCTTCCACTCGCCACTACCGCCATAAATAAATTGAAATATAGCTGCTATCAAGATTCTTCTGTTATTCGAAGAGTTCCTTTTTTAGGCTTTGCAATTGATCCTTCTAACAGTGTTCCCGCTTTAAATTCTACAAACTACCTTGGAGGAAATGGATTCATGTAAAACTCTGAATAAGGCGTAAAAACATTAATAAAACTCCAGATGAAAAACAGTATCCTTGTTTTGAAAGAGAATAAAAAACGCCTGATTCCAACAATTCAGCATTGATTATTTTTTCTCAGATTTCTTCAGATTTGAGCCTAATAAAGTGTATGAAGTTTCAATTATCCGTTCCCTTTGAATAAAGCCACGGATAAAGAACCTTCGCTGTACACAGTCCTAAGTCCCCCAAATGGGCAGAAACTTTCGACGCAACGACTTCTGGGATCCGAGCGTTACATAGGATTGGTTAATGCCAGCTTGCTTTGAATACCATCGACCAATAATAGCGACGTCAGCCCAAACGATCATAAAAACACTACACTCAAAGCTTGAACCTGTTCTCTTCAGTGTCCCCTAATTGTCACAGGGATATGGGCATCGTCGCGTTTTGAGCACCTTCGTTCCCAAAATCCTAGTGATATGGGCATCACCTCTAGACCTTCCCTTAACCCTAACCCAAATCGCTAAGGTGGGTAATATGAGAAGGGGATGCCCTGCATATCACTAGGGTTTTAGTAATGGGGTTGCCCAAAACGCGGAATGTCCATTTCACTGTAACACCCTTTCATCTTGGTGCCAAATAAACCTGGTCTCGAGGACATGACAGGGTAAGAAAGAGAAGAAGATAAAGTTTACAAAATAATGGTTTGAAGGGAATTGGCAAAACATACCATTCGATTAACACTTGAATTCTGATTGCCGCAGGGTGTAAAATGTGCCGGCAAAATGACCTCACTTCCATTTAAAGCGATGGTTTTATTGCCCATGTCCTTTGCGTTATATCTCTCGACTCCCAGGGCTAAAGACTTCTTCTCAATAGTTATTTCTTTTTCTCCAGCAATCAAAGTGGTCAGCATAGCTATTCCAACTGTTTTGATTGTACCGACAGCTGCTTGTGTGTTATTGCCATCTGAATCCTACAAAAAAAAATTTTGTGATCAGCTTCTGAGACTTTTTCATCCTTTTGGGTCCGACCCTTTACATGTAACCTTTGAGGACGATGATATATATATTTTTTTTATCATAGAGGAGCTCTCTTTTATTTTTTCGTCACAGACGTCGCTCCCTCTATATTGGTATTTACTAATGACAGGCAAACGACAAAAAAGTTTATAAAGAATAAGTGTGTAGTAGTGGTAGTGGTAGTGGTAGTGGTAGGGATAGAAGAAGTAGCAGATCGTACTTTGTTTGATGAGTCGGTCAAAATGAGGTTTATTGCTGTACCGACCACTGAATCTGAAGCACCCTGAATGTCTTTACTCGAGGCGGTCTTGGCTTGGTCCAGAATTGCGTTCCCCGCGCTCTTGATGAAAGAAGAAACTTTGTTCTGTTTGAAAAAGAAGCATCAAATATAAGCACACTGGAAAAGCACCAATCGTAAAGTTAAAGTTAATTCGATAAAGTTAACTCCTGCCAAAAGAGGTTTGATCGTTCTTGCAGATACGGCTGTATTCACAGAAAGGTCAACGTATATCTATGTGTTAAGAGTAAGCCCAAAATTTAGACAAAAATTTCTCGCATAGAAATGCGCTAGTTAATTATGTTCTACTTTTACTAAGAGACCCATTTAAGGTGTTTCGACATAGTTTTTCAGAGGCCATACCGATATTTTTCAATCGCTTTAAAAGTACTCTATTGTTTTCCACCTAAGTTTCTTGTCCCACTCCGCCTGCCAGTGTGACGTCACATAGTAACGGGCAAGAGCCTGGGGTCGCTTATGCAAATTAGCAAGGGATACGACAGTTATTTGGACGAACGAGGTCGAGGAAAAGCTAAGCCGTTAACATTTGAATACCGTAAAAACCCGCGACTTAAGAACCTGTATTTTCCCTAGTTAGACTAAACAGGTTCTTACGTAAATGGTAATGAGCGCAAATTTAGGCTATTTAGGTTCTTAAATAGGTTCTTGTTTCCAGAATAAAAAACACATTGTAACCAAGAGCAATATGTCGTATTCGGCTTATTCCTTTCATAAAAACTGCATACTATTATATTGCAGTTGGACTGTGATAGGCACTTTTGTCTCCAAAACGGATTACAGGTTTTTATAAAGATTTATAAAATAAGAACCTGTTTCCAATTTTAGGCTAAACAGGTTCTTTTCAATAGATTCAGACCAAGTTCTTACTGTATGTCATTGATATGTAGTCCCTGTTAGCCTGGAATCAAGTTGTCTATTTTTTGACTTTACTTACGATCACATTGGGAGAATTCTGTTTGGCTACGGAAGTAGCATCGCTGAGAGTCCCGGACAGTTGAGTCACATCAGCCAAGTTCATATCCTCTTTGACTTCAGTATTGTCAAGTGCAATAGAAACAAGCTTGTCAACGAACTGAAAAAGGCAAAAATAAAATACTTATTCCATCCCCAAATCTCCAAAAGACACTTAAGGCCTATAGTAAACACCCGCAGTAGTTTTGCAAAGCTTAATATTATACCAACCAATGTCCATGAAATAAAAAATTGGCTAGTTGGATATATCCGACTGGAAACGAAGGGTTTACCTTAAAGTGCAAAAATGTAAACTAACCCGTGGGAAACTACTACGCTATGAAAAACCAAACATACTATATATATATTAGTAATAACAGAACATCACAAAAACGTAATTACCTCTTTATTTGCCTCGATATCTTCGTCACTTTGCTTTTCAGTATCTTGTTCTTCGTTTAATGCTTGGGCAAAATTTGATACAAAAGACAGTTTCAAGTTTAAGTTGCCACCAGCAGCTGTTTCGCCCAGATTTTCGTCTAATAGTTTTGTAAGATCCTTAGCAGTCGTTTTCTTTTTAATGGGCATAACCTGTCAAAGAAAGATCAAAGTTCTTTCTCGGGAACTGTCTTGGGTAATAGCGCACGCTTGATATATTAAAATTTTAACATTACTCCTGTGCTAATTCTGGTCATATTTCTATATTTGGTTTGGTTTTGTTTGCGCTCACTTCTTTTCGAGGAATTGCGAGACAATGGAGTCGTGAAAAGTTTGAAAACCTTATCCTATCCCTCAAGCCTCAGAGTTACGTCAGAATTTTGCGACATCGAACGTGGGCTATTTGGAGTATCGATGGAATTTTTCCTTGAGGAAAATCCGTCACACTCAAAAAGGTGCTTTCCCGTTGGCAACAGCCCGATTTTCCATGGGTAAAATGTATAGTATACCCACACCTAATGTAGGGTATGTGGTAGGAAAAGCACAGCCATTTACGTGATATTTAGCCTCACTGCTCACTCACTTGATAAAATTAAGCAAATTTTAACCTGCAGACGATAACATTGGCTGAAAATGACTGGGTGTAGACTAACCGGGGAAATGGAGCTGTGATATAGATATAATAAGATTACATTACTTAGATTAGAACAAGAGCAAAAAAATTTCGCATATTTCTCTAGTCTTTCTTTCTACCTCATGATCAATTGAAACGATGAATAGGTTCATACACTCCTTCGAGTTTTCTCGAGAATCATACCCGATTTCAGATCCTAATGGGCAAAGTCTGTACCCGTTTTTGGTACCAAAACGGCGCAAAAACCCTACCCTTTGAGGAGGTACGTACCTACAATGTATGTGGCCTGTACATATGAGTACCCCCGGGCCACGCGTACTGTGTCCGGTTTTGCTTGAAAAGAGAGATCTTTCCTCCGGTTTAGCATACCTTCCACACGTGCCCGATAAGATTAAAACGGTCACAAAACGCATCTTTTCAGAAACCTTCTCGAGAATAGAGCGTTTTGAAAACGCTAGCTTCTCATTTTCGCAGTAAAGGCGGACGAAATCAGTCGAAAATCCGAGTTTCTCGAATATTATATACCACTAGCATTAGGCATCCCCTGTGAGGGATGCTATTGTTTCTGTCATCATTTTAGTGTTTTCGTGTGAACGGGCAAAAATCGTTCGAAAACGCTGCGTGTGGACGCTTTTTTTTTTCGAAAATGGACAGACAAAATTTGCATGCGTTCATCCGGATACGTGTATACAGGCCCAGAAAAAACCAAACCTAGTCTCTCTTGGTGACGTTACGATTCACAGTATGGTTCAGGCTTGTTCAATCCGAGCTGGCCTAGCGCTTGGCTGGAGCCACCCAAGCCGTTAGGTACAAGGAAAGAACGACATGACGATCAACTAGAACAAAAATATAATTGAGAAAGATAATGGCCTGACTGACATAACGATACCCACCTTAAGAGTCTCTGGGATCTCGTAATCGACAGATGCTCCTAATATGTCCGTTACCTTCACGACAAAATTGTATTTGTAATCGTTTTCTTTCAGACCACTTGATAAGCGAAAATCTTTGAGAACGGGACTAAGGCTCTGGTCTAAAAGTGATAGAGGACCTCCTTCGGCTTTCTTGTAGAAGAATGTGTACGTTAGAGGTTCGTCTCTGTCTTTGAAGTTTGTACAAGTTATGATAAATAGAGTTTTTAGCGGTTCCCCTTCTTCGTGAGATACCCTACATTTGCCATTTGCTGGAGGCTTGTTCACCACAACATCGTAAGTGCTTTTGCCTTCTGCTCCACTGGCAACATTTCCACTCAGTGTAACCGTGTATTTTGCATCATCTATCAAGGAAAAGAGGTCGGTAAGAGATTAGAAACACGAAGGAAATGGCCTCCTGTAGATAAAAAAAGTCGGGTTATCCGGCTAGGACTGCTGCATAACTATGATTTACATGCCTGTCATATGCGTGTCATATGCGCAGAAAATCTAGCGGGTAACTTTTGAGCAGCGGCTACTAAAGATAGTGAAAACCATAGGAAGGGAAAAACAGCCAAATAGGCTTAAAAGCCTATGTTCATTCTACACTGGACAACTCTCCTGCCGGCACAAAACCACACCGGATAGGGCTTCTGTTCACAAATAACTACTCCAGTGATTCGGAGGGATTTCTTTAACTATAGCAAAGCTACGCCGTGCTGATCTGGAAAGTGAAACGTTACATATCGGATAGGTTCTGTGCCTCACTTTGGTTGTCAGAACAGGTATTCAGATTATGGCAGAATTGCATACGAGCGAGGTCTACAACCCACTGAGACGAAAGTAAACACAGACGAAACTCCAAGTGCGACTACCTCTTGTAAGCGACCGCCTCCGATAAGCGACCGCCAATCCAAAACACCAAAGTTTTCCCAGTCAAAGCCTTAAAGTTGGAACCTCTAGTAAACGACCACCGCCTTTAAGCGATCGTCACCACTTTTTTAACCAAACGGTTAATGATTTTCCCCTGTTTAACCTATTTTAAGCGCCACTTGACGCATTCTCCGATCTTATTTTCGCTGAGTGCACTATGTTATGTTACTTAGGATACAGCTATTTCGAGAAAGGTTGTCGGAAAAAAGTGCGCGCGACAATCCCGAAAGGTATTGTGTGTGGTTTTGAGTTCACTGTTGTTCAAAGAAATTTGAAAGAATGGCACGAAAGGCCATGGGAGTATGTTTACGAGTGTTAAAGGTAAGTAACAAAAGTAGGTTCGACGGCTAAAGTGCCAGGAGCAGTGTATTGATCATATCCCGTGTTACCTTTCGGGATTGTCGCGTGCACTTTTTTTCCGACAACCGTTCTCGAAATAGCTGTATATACGAAGACCTTTAGTTAAAACATGGACCTAAACATATCCTGCATGCAGTAAATTATCTTCCATAGAGTACTGTCTGGACCTCTTCTCGCAGGAGACGCTCTGCGGTTCCTTTCTTGTAAACGACCACTCAGTCTTTGCATTTTGGGTGGTAGCTTACGCGAGGTTCAAATGTATTCAGAAATATTCAGTAGTGTCTGACAGATGACTGAGATTTAGGACACTCTCTCGTCCAACCGCTATGGCACGATATTCGATGTGTCAGTTACGACCGGTATAGTGCAGACATAGCCTAAGAGGTATACTCGTAATTTGCCTTATGAAAGTGATATTATAGGTGATATTACAATTATTATTTTTATATTGTCTTACGTAGACTGTTGAAAATGGGAAGGCGTCTACTTCTGAATTATTAATTTCTTATAGTTCCTGTATAAGGAATGTATTGGAATGTGGATGTGTAGCGTACCATCACGCGCTTCCGTGCTACTTACACCAAGACACTGGCTTACATTCAAAGTTTTTCGCGATTATGCAACTTGTTTAAAATATTAAATGCAACAAATTTTCCTGAATTTATTTTCTTCGTGGTGTGTTTAAGGCAGGGAATTTCAAGTTGTACTCGTGCAGTGACGGCAAAGAAATGTACAAAAAGAGTGCTGCACGCGCAGAATTGTTGTTTTGACTTATCACTTGGCTTCACACTAGAAGCTAAGTTAGTTTCAAGTAAGTACTTGATTCAATTGCACGTAAAAATCTTAAGTCGCTCAGTAGAAAGCATGGCTTCATACTTGTTAACAAAGTATATTTACTTGAAGACAAAAAGTCAATTATCTTTTGCACTAAAATCATTCATGCACATCACAAACGTGATTGCTTGCGTCAAAAGTTAAAACTATGAGGCCTTTGCTCTGAAGAAGAGTTTTTTGCTTTTTAGTATTTATTTTTCGTTACTTTTTAATTCAACTCAAAGGGTTTCAATTCAACTGTAAAAGAGATGCTTATGTGCTTCATGTTTTACAAGTACTTAGAAGGGGCAGGAAAAAAAAAAAACAAAACAAAAAAAAACAGGCGAAGTCTTCCTCATCATTTCACTAGAATGACTGAGCAACGCTCTTTTGGCTAAAAAAAAATCGCCAGAAGTTCTGGGCTTTGCCCTTTTCCGCAATGCTCTTCGCAAACCGAGTCATGCATGTGCATCTGTCCGTTCATTAGAATCTTGGAACTGCTGCGCGTGCACATCGTGCACATGGCTTTCATTTCTTATTGGTCAAGTGTGGTGTAGACCACACTTGGCAACGAACTTCGGCTTCTTTGAACTCAAACGTTTCTATGGTCAACAAGTAAAGTTGAAATAGGTACAGTTTACCCCTTCACACTCAAAGAAGGTTCCAAGTACACTTGGATTATACTTGAGTAATCTAGTGTGAAGCCAACAATTAAAGCTATTGCGTTTGTGACGTTCTTGTTGCCGTTGCCGTCGTCGATACTGAAACCCCTTATTTTCCCTGGTCTACAGTCTTCTTTCTATCACACCCCTTGCGCTTTTTGAGTAAGAGTCACGTACAAATTTAAACTACTCCGATAAAAAGAAAAACACAAATTCGTCGGCAAAAGTAAAGATTATTTTAGTGAAAGAACCACATTTCACAACCAAAATTTGTAAGTACCTTTAAAATAATCCGGCTTTATTACCAAAGTCTCTGACGTAAGATCTGGCACCGCGAGGAAACGCTGTGGGATAGAATCATCTGAACAGCTGCAATCGGATGTACATTTTTGAACGCTCCACTCGTAATGTATCTTTCGGTTACCTTTGGACTTTCCTTTTCCTTTTAATGAAAATTTCTCCGATGGGTTTAATTTTATCTTGCAGTTTTTAAGACACCTGAAATAAAAAGAAAACAGCGATGAAGTCATAAAGGGTGACCACCATTAAGTTAGCTATTGAAAGAGCAACGTACAAAGTAGATTTAGAATTTGGCGCATTCTAAGTCAGTATGTTAGTGAAAAAAAAAAAAAAAAAAAAAAAAAATCTTTGATGAGCAGAAGGTACAACTTCAAAGACTTCAAAAGACATCAAAACAAAATGGCTTAAATTTGAAGAGTAAAACTACCAAATGTACAAAACTGAATAACGAGAACTGCTTTCATTGTTGGTGGTTGTTCTTCCAGTTGATATATAATCACCATAGCCTCGTTTTCGTGCTATGATTTCCCAGAAACCTTTACGCTGCAAGTGTGCCTTAAAAAGCGACAATATAAATTTATATTTTTTACATTCAACTGACAAACAAGAGCAATATTACCATCAGCTATCAAACAATAAATTTTCAAACTGCCAACAGCAAGCAAGCAAGCAGAAAAAACGATGAAAGACTCGGCTTGGTCAGCGTCTTCTTTCCTTTACAAATCACTTTCTAATCCTTTTTTTTGTCGCGTTGACTCAATCTAGTACCAGATTTCTTGTTTACGATGCCCAAGGCGAGATCTTACTGGTTAAGAAAGAAAATTTAATGTTTTTGATTAGCTAGATTGTGAGCGAATTACGTGAGTGTTGTCCCCTACGCGCGCTACGGCGTGTGCAATTCATTCTTTGCAAATTCTTCAGTTCTGCTAAAATAAATATTTCACCGAAGAAATAGTTTTCGTCTTGATATAACTTGTAAATCCGATTTTATCTCATCTTCAAAGACTTTTTAAAACTCTCTCTCGATATCAAAATAAAGATTTTTGAAAGAGTAAAAAAAAAATTCTCGCGTAGAAGTTGATGCATACTGCTTTGAGCTTTCAACGCGGGCAATGATGATGAAATTTAACCTAACTTGCTGTCACTTTGAATTTGATGTTACAAAGAAAAACAACAACAACTTAATTGGTTCATACTTAAGATATGCGTATAACCACGATTTTTTAGAGAAAACTTCACGGCTCTATCGCATTCGTTCTTTGACACGACTAAAATTGAGGATTTATTTCAAGCACGCGCTCTTTCATCGCCTGTCACATTCCTGACAGGCCATAACGTGTAAAAATCGGATTTGACCTGATCTCGCCTTCGGCTTCGTCAACAACAGATTAGCGTCAACCCTCACTAGTAGGAAACTGGGGACAAACCCATCAGACTCTCAGTCCAGCTACGCTAGCGCTATACACTTAAACTCATTGGCATTGATATCCTTTTTGGTCTGATCATGTTCCGTTGCTTTCTATTGTGCTATTTCTTGGGCTAAAAAAATGTAAAATGTAGATGCAGGATATATAGAGAAGAGAAAAGTGACGTCAAAGAAATTCAAATTTGTGAAAATATGGAATTGGTTGGCACATTCAGAGAAAAGAAAATGAAAAACAGCGCCCTTGCCAAAAATAAGCCGGTAAGTGCAAATTTGTGGAGAGATATAAGCGCCGTTTAAAAGGTTCATAGTATAAATAAAAATTGATATGATATACTTACTCGATGCTCATATCAGGAGGATCACCAGGAACAAGGGTAATATATTGATCCTTAACCTGGGACTTTCGACCACTTTTTGCCATGATAAATCTGATAGTATATGTTGAGTTAGGAATCGCCATGCTTGTATTTAACTCTATTATTTTTGTTTCGTTAAAATCCGTAAGTTGACCTGGAGCATATCCGAAACAGCTTCCATTACTCAAGGGATTTTTTGTCTCAGTAGAGGATATATTTCCCGGCAACTTGGAACCATTAAAGCTACAGAACCAAGCAAACTCGAAATTGCTTCCTGGTTCATCTGGGTCCACTGACTTAGAAGCATCAATTTGCGCTATAACGTCACTGCCTACAGTCCTCTTCGAGCCGCCCAAAATACTTGCCACGAGAGGAGTTGGAATAATTTCAATAGAAAATTTCTTCTCACTGCTGCAAAATCCCTCTGCCCAAGTCATGTTGATCGAGAACCGAAATTCGATCTCTTTGCAAATACTGAAATGCCTCGCGGGATAGTGCAAATCAGCTGATTTTGAGATGAATTCCTCTGGCATCGGATCTTCTTCATCAATGGCGCATCTCTTTGTAATTTTCCACCTGAGTTCGGTAGTACAATTGAAGCAGTGAACCGTGTTCACAGGTTTGATAGTAATGTCCTCTGATCGTTTGAACTGCTGTTTATGGGATTCAAATCCAGGAACGCTAATTTTGGGTATTTCACATGGTCCTCTTCTCTCTAGCAAGAAAAGAAGACAAGGCTAAGTAAACACCTATTGTGTAAGTGGTCCCGAGGGAAACAGTTAATTTTGTTTCCTGAGAATCTCAATGGCAGCGGGTAACAGTGCACTGCTACCCTCTGACGTCATACATTTGCAATGTTACCCGCTCAGAGATTTTGACGGAAAACAGTTTAATTGTTAGATGTCATGTGACCTCGAAGTAACCAATGAGAGCGCGCGCTGTTGGGAAAAAAATTTCCAGCTATATAACAAGATTTATTTCACTCATCTTGGTTTACATATGACTCAGGTTAAGCAAAGACACATAAATACATTTAAATAAGTAAGGAATAAAAATTGTAGCATCTAGATAAGGAGCGACTTGAGATCATCCAAAAAGCTAAAGCTAATCTAGTGGACGACCCCCAAAATACAATTATACACACAGAACAATTGAATATTGCTTTTTTTAGAATTGTATTTCGTCAAGCTATGTTGCTAAGGTAGATGAATACAGTCAACTCCCTTTATAGCGGACACCGTAGGGACCTTGGGTTAGTGTTCTCATTAGCGAGAGTCCGTTATAGCGGGAGATAATAGGCCATTTGCACTAAGAGGTCATGTGACATCGTTTTTATGAAAATGAAAGTTATAGGATTTTGCCTTCGAAAAACGATTAGTGGGTTATATCTTAAACGAAATGATCGTGATTTGGCTTTTCAAACCCGCACCATTTTCTTAAAATGACTAATTTCGTAGCTGGTCACGTGACCAAAATGGGATTTTTTAAAATTATGAATTACCTCTTTCTGAACACAAATTTTGCACTTAAACTTCAAGGAAAATGTTGAAAATATGATGTGATAATGTTTACAGCACATCTGAGCGTAACTATCAAACCTTTAACAAGATATAAGCAAAAAGTAGTTTTGGCCGCCATCTTGGAGGGCAAGAGTATACCCTCCAACATGGCGGCCAATACAAATCATACTACTCTGTTAAAAAATCAAAGTGCCATAAAATATCTCCCTTAAATGCGTTTCCCCTCAAATTTCGGGTGTAAGATAATTTTTATGTGCTCTGTCAATTTTTTGCATCAGCAAGATTCCAACTCATTGTTTAAAGGAAGCATTGGTCACGTGACCTCTTAGTGCAAGTGGCCTATTTCAGTCAAACAACTTCTTTATTTTTGTCTGGGATTTACTGGCCTGCGCCACCGTACGAGACTAACAGTCTGGTTAAGTGCGTCTGCGAAACTGCGCCGAAAGCCTTGGTCTAGGCCCCCACCTGTGTACCAGGATTTGACTACGCGCCATGATTGGCCTGTTAAAAAAGCAATTGTCGATTTCCCGATCAAGTTGAAAGGAAATTCGACACGCACTTCCGGTAATTTGTTGAGTCTGTTGGGGGCCCAGAACAAGGATGTCGTGGCTGCTTCACAGACGTTACTAACCGAGGTTAGATTACGTCTGCTACGCAGACTAGGGATTTAGCTGCTGTCCGTGTTATCGGGGTGTCCGCAAGGCGAAAGTTGACTGTACTTAATTAGTATAACAACTAAACATAGGGTTTTGAGGCCGATGTGGTGGGTCGAATACAAACTAGGTAGACGCCCAGTAACCCCGCCTTTATCAATATCTGTTCAAAGATCTTGTTTAACAGACGCACACTATTTGCTCTGCTGAACCTTAGATGCTCTCCGCTGAAATCGCCGTACTTCGTATTGAAGGAGGAAGCTCAATAATAGCAGAGCTCTCTCGCGCGAAGCGCGCAGCGGAGCACCATGGGTAAAAAAATGTGGTAAACTACCCACCCGAGAAAATTTGGCAATCACATGACCGTACACCGACCGACCGACCGCCCGCCCTACCGTCCGTCTGCACTACAGGCATACCAATGTAAAATAATTCAATCAACAGGTATGGCAACCCAAATGCAACTCAAGGTTTTATTTGGAAAGAAATCGCATGGCCGCCCGGACTTTTAGAAAGAAAAAACAACTACAAAGTCGTGTCTTTTTCAACGTTATTTTTGATGTTTACACTCACGTGGATAACAGAGAAAGAGCTAGAGCGAGTGACTGAAAACAAAAGAGACGAATTTTGTGGGAAGAAAAACATGAAAATTCAAAGCGGCTGTGAGACAGTGAGAAATGCTAGTGGCCAGCAAGGTGAAAATGAGCGGCAGTGAAAAATAAAAGCGAACATGAACACAGGAGACAAAATATTGGGTAAGCACATTCGACAATTCCTCCATAAAAATGATGTGTAACTAGGAAGTTTGACGTTTTACTCCTACAAAACAGCGTTGTAGTTCTACAAAACAACGGCAAAGAAAGAGAAAAAGCGTGCTGCACGTGCAAATTTGTTTTTTTGCTAATTAGAAAAAAAGTGTTCTGCACGTGCAATTTATTTTTTTTTTGCTAATTAGATCTATTGAACTTGATGCCATTTTCATTGCCCTCCCCGTTTAGCATTACACAATTTAATTTTTTTTTGTTTACAAGAATTATTAACCAGAGCTTCGCTTTTAGCCCTGGCTAAATCTATATATTACCCTACCTTAAAAAAAATAAAAAAAGATGCCCGAAGCGTGCCACTACCATCCAGAACTTGTGCAATTCACAAAATTTGGAGGGGTGTTGGATATAATGAATACCTTCAAAAAGGTAGTAGGAGTGTCGACAAAAGTGAAGAAAGGGGCCTCTCCCAAGAAAGTAATTAAAGTCTCTCACGAAACAGATTCTTCTCAAGAACAGACAGAAGAGATTGAACACTTACACTTAGATCCTCTTTGATTAGTGAGATTCAAAAAACGTGGCTAGCGTTAAGGCCAAGAATTCTCTCCTTCATGTCTACAGAAAAGAGCTCAGAAAGGTACTCTTAAAGTATATTCAGTAGATGCGTGCTATGAAGAAGATTCTACCAGCCATGTCAACCAAGCTATTCCCGAAGACGAGGCCTAATTCCTACTTTACATTGCAATATAGCATTTCAACTTTGTGAAACTTTAGTGTGTTGGCTCTCATTAAACGTATTAGAAATTATGCCCAGCGTCTTATTCTTACATGAATTTTACTCTCGAGTCTCGAGTGTTCAACAAAACCGCGCTCTCATATCGGCACGTACTAAGTGGTTCTTTAATTTGGCCAACCACTACATCTAGTTAGAATACGGTACCAGACGTCTTTTCCCGAGTTTCCTTCTCGTTTCTTAAGTGTGAAAAACACTCACCTGATGGCGGTACGTATGAACGATTGACAGGAATAAGCGCTGCAATTGTAGTGGGATCTGCACTGTCATTATTATGCGCTTCTTTTTTCCAGTCCACAGCGTTTTTTCCTTTGTATCCAATGGAAGTGAACGAACTGTTAGGGCCAAGAGTGGAACTTGACTGTATTCCCACCTCTTTCAGTTGGCTAGTGGGGAGACTTCGACCGCTTACTAAACCAGACTCTTGTATTGCAATCAACACTACTCTCTCCTGGGGCAGACTACTTAGAAAGGTACCTAAGTCGTCGCATTTGGCCTGGCTGGCAGCACAATCGAATGCACTTGAAGTTAGAAACCGACCTAGGCAGAAGAAGGCATGAGAGAGTTTACTTATAATTTAGTAGAAAAGTAAGCTTTAAGTTTATTTGTCAAGTTAAATAGTGAGCCAAAAATATAATTATCGCCATTTCATGAGCGTCAGATAAGCAGACAAAACCTTGAGTCCTGGACTCAGTAGATTCGAACTTAAAACATCCCTAAAAGTGAGCGCCGGCGTGCTCTATCCACTCATGAAATACGGAAAGACTCACAAGCCTGGAATAATGTAGATTCTGAGCATATCGGGCACTTTTAGGAACGAGCCTGAAGAACCAGCCATAAAGGCTCCCTATAGCTAACACCCCGGCTCTATAGATCTAGTGCTGTCCGCCTATATTCTATAACTATCTGAAAAATTTCTTATTCAGTACCGATTTACCTGAAAGAAGATCAAAAACAGCTACATTGAAACCCCTAGTCTGTAGTGCGAAGTTTTTCCCATTAACTGTGATGTAAGCTAAGCCGTTCGTGAAAGGAGTTTTTCCAGGATCATTGGCCGCTTCGGATGTTAAGCTGACATTTAGCAGCTTGATCACATCTGTTGAAACGAAAAGACATCGATCAATTCCACAAAATCTGTTACTTTAATTTAACTCAGAAAGTGCGCGCGTCATGTAGTAAAAACCCGCCATAAGAACATAGTTCTTCCAAGCTAGGCTAAGAATCCAAACATATTAAAGCCATTTATGAAGTTTGTACAAAGCTATGCAAGTTAAACAGAACAAAAACAACATTAAAACATGGTACTGTATGTGTTTTTTATCTTTATTTTACTAAGTGATGAAGCTTGTTTATTAAATTTGTGTATTCAGTGTTCGACAGAATTTCTCAAAATAAGAACCTGTTTCAAATTTGTAGGCTAAAACAGGTTCTTATGCAAATGCGGTCTAAATGGACAATCAGCCTAGCAAGTTCTTAAAATGTAGGCTCTTATACGCGGGTTTTTACTGTATTTGAATCAGTTTTAATTTCGCTCTGTTTCCTTGTACTTTATAAAATTACTGGAAACCGTTTTCAGTTATATAATATCTAAGAGCCAGTGTTAGTTTCTTTCAACATTCTTTTATAGTCTGCCTTTTGATTCATTACTTTTCTTGGCAGGTATTTTAAACATATATTTAATTTCCTTTGGTAGACATGCATGCTTAGGATTTCTAAAGCTACGTACAAACGGCGGGTTAACTCCCAATGTTGTTGGGCGAACAATGTGGGAGTTGTTGCGCCCGTGTTGGCAGTGGTGTGCAAACGGATGCAACATTTCCTCAATAATATTGGGACCACCATCGTGGGAAGGATGCAATTAACCCATAAGATCTTGAAAATCGTGTGTAAAGCGAGTGCGTGGCCCTAACAATGGTGAAAGAACTGTGCAAACGGATCCAATATTGTTGCGCTTCGCTTCGGCAATCACGGAACAAAAGAAAT